ATAAACAACTTGACTTACCATCTGCATATTATGATACTTCACATTGTTGCAACACTAAAATTTCACCGACTTCCTATTATCAGTCGGTTGAATCAAAGAATTCGGAATACACAAGTGAGATTGAGAATCACAATACACAAGTCCCACTTGACTTACGTCTGAAATCACTTCCCAATATCTGCAATGTGAACAACATTAACAACAAAAACAATGATTGTATTAGTGTAAAAGTGTCTAAAGAAGGTGTAGTGACACAACGTGGCATATTCATACATCCACTCTCATCTGATCATCAAATGATACACAGACGAAACAATCTGAATACAACTAGTCAACCAATTGAAAGTGAGAACTCATTCAATATCCAATCCTTACTAAGAAATAATGTGGAAGTCATAGATGACTGTACAACAAATTCAAACCTGTACACAGCGAATTCGAATACGGCAAGGAGAAACTGTAGCAATATACAAGCAGTCTGTCAGACAACAGACTCAAACTTCTCATTCCCTCAAATCCTGGTTAACTACTTACACATGATGAATCCATTAGCACTCGATTCCCATCCATTGAAGTCAAGTGAGTCACATGTTTTAAATGAGTTCCTTTTACCACGACTGGAGGAGAGTACAGAACATTTACTGCCGCCACCATCATCATCATCATCATCATCGTCATTGCTGTTGGCATTCAGCTCGTCGGTTGCAAGAACACTTCAGCCTAATAACCAAACGAGCAAGCTGAAGCTCACGAGACCAGCAAATGAAACAATAAATAATTCGACAAATCTAGAAACATCAGAGTATAGAAGTACAAACATGGATCCCACTGAGCACAATTCGAAGGGAACAGAGTCTAACCACCAACCAGTGATGCATCATCATAATTTGGATTGCTCATCGATATCGAGTGAAGAGGTTGTGAAGACTAGACCAGAGTGGGATAGAAGTGTTGATTTGGGCAAAACACCGATCATATTTTATTATCCTGAACCATCTGATAGCAAGAAGAGAATAAAGGTAAGGAATTTACTTCATGCAAATTTCTTTTCATTATCGAGCTATGTGGCTTTGTTTTCCGGCACAAAGCCATGTCACATTTAGAATCAATGTGTAGCAGTAGTAGTAGTAGTAGTGTGAGTAGTAGTAGTAGTGTGAGTAGTAGTAGTAGTAGTAGTAGTGTGAGTAGTAGTAGTAGTAGTGTGAGTAGTAGTAGTAGTAGTGTGAGTAGTAGTAGTGTGAGTAGTAGTAGTAGTGTGAGTAGTAGTAGTGTGAGTAGTAGTAGTAGTAGTAGTGTGAGTAGTAGTAGTAGTAGTAGTAGTAGTGTGAGTAGTAGTAGTAGTAGTAGTGTGAGTAGTAGTAGTAGTAGTAGTAGTAGTAGTAGTAGTAGTAGTAGTAGTAGTAGTAGTAGTAGTAGTAGTAGTAGTAGTAGTAGTAGTAGTAGTGGGTAGAGGTTGGTATTTTCAGCCAAAAGAGATCACATACTGAACCAGTCATTCATTGATGACCAAGCTCACAGCTCCATTTCTGACCACCTCCGAGCAATAAGTCATTGATTGGGGATCTGAATATCGCCATTACTCCATTTCGTCTGCGTATTAGACATGTTCTCATTAACCACTAGATTTTATCAGTGAGCATTTGTAGAACTTTGTGAACACTCAACCAGAGACTGATGACACCTTCACTTAGATCTTTATTTAACTCTCTGAACAGTTACTGTTATACGTAATTGAGCGTAATTGAGCGCATTCACAGGCCATGTCTTCTTACAACGGAATTACAGAAGCACATCTATCACCTCTCTCTCTCTCTCTCTCTGTCTGTCTGTCTGTCTGTCTCATCAAAATATTTGATTCGACTAGGAGTAAGCAGGCTGAAATCTGTCTGACTGCTCCTCCTAATTCATTGACAAAAGTACTCATCATCATGCAGACTATGCTGAACAAATCAAACGGTAAGTCTTCTCAACGCTGAATTGACAGTACTTTCTGAAAAAGAGAGATAAGTAAGTGATGCAACTGACTTGCATGTGACTGATTATGCATACCATGTGGTACAAGTGTTTGTCACGAAAACTGGTCAGTCATCTTGGAAGGTCTACGGGATGATTACACCTCGAAACAGAAACTTCATCACGATGTAACACTTGATAAATCACTGAGTGTCTCTGAAGTCATACCCGTCACCATCCACATCACCATGATTGTGAGAAATGAAAATTGTGCTAGAGTCATGCTGATAGGACAGATGAAATTCACCTGATTAGTTCTCAGCAGTTTGAAATCTCTGCATCACTCTTCACTGTCAGTCACTCGGATGAGAACATGCCTGATATGGAGGCTTGTTCATGAGGATTGATGGAGAAGTGTGTTGGAGAGTGCATGCCAATACATGTTGTACTCCAATGTCTGCTCCCTACTGAGAAGTGATACATAACAGGATATCACTATTGAGTGAGAATGAATTTTACCAGGTAGATTCAGATGATGATGATGATGATGATGATGATGATGATGATGATGATGATGATGATGATATCGATTGACATTTGTCTAAGAGGAGGAAATTGTCCCCCAAATCTGCCAGTCAAATATCTGAATTGTGAATGAAACACGGTTGATGCATGCAACTCGTATCCACCTAGTGAGTGACATAGTTTCATAGTATGCATAGTTCATCATGACAATAATAATCACTAAATCAAATGAAATTGCAACTCATTCTCTCTCAATACTTTTCACCTTAACATTGTTGAATGGAAGAGGTGAGTAAATTTGAGAATTTTCTTCTTCCTCCTCATGTATATAGACAATGCTGGAACGCAACGATCCCTGTCTGAAATACGTTAATGACGGCGCTGCAATACACAATCCGTTCGCTGTTGACAGAAAAGTTCAGTTGATGCACTTGACCTCCTTACTCTGTAAGTATGATTTTAACGATAACATAATCTGTTGCCTTCATCACTTTCATATGCAATGCAAAACAATCCACTCGACTCATTCACTCGTCAATCAGCACAGCTTATTATCATGTCTTTATTTATGAACAAGTGAGCATGTGGAAATGATATGGAATGAGTGAAATATATTACAACATGATTTGCTCAAGCAGATACCGCTTTCAATTAGTGTACTGATGATGGTGGCCAGTGTGTCGTGAAATTCTCCATTAGCAGCGAGTGACCAGTTCTAGGCATAGGGAGTAATAACTTTGATCATTCTGGAATATGCAGCATCTACCACGATGTAGTAAGTCAGGTTAGTTAAGTCAAGTGAACGGCTTCGATGATTCAGCTTTTGCTGCCATGCATCAAGCGAAAATTCTTGAACACTCCATAGACAGTCGTTTGTGCAACTTCGAGAAAATGTCAACAGTGTGAGATTATTATTTGTTGTCTGAGTCAAGGCGTTTGGTTTATGTCTCAGCAATGTGGGAAGCATAGGGCTGAAGTCAATGTTAATCAGTTGGTGATCATATGCTGATATGAGTAATCCAGAATGGGGAGTGAGTGAGGAAGCTAGACACAGCGAGAGAGAGAGAGAGAGAGAGAGGGAGGATTTATCCAGATAAAACCCTATTCACAAGCATTTCCCACACTTCATGTTCATGTGAGTTATATGCAATGAGTAGCCCGAAGGCAATATGTTCTATGCTAGCTGCAACCGGGACATATCCACCACCACCACCAACAACAACAACAACAACAACAAATATTAACACAACACAGTTGAACCACCATGAACTCATGCAACAGCTAATTGTCCTCTTCTTGCCTTATCAACAACATTGTTTCCTCCACATGCTACGAGATTCTTTCGGAAAGCGAAACTGAAATCAATCGAAATCAATCAACGGAGGTATGATTAATTTCTGAGAAACGATAAGAACTTCACTCATTTATTTTACTAGGAGTTAGCCAGTTTCCACCATTGTAATGATTATCGCATAACATCCAGTCTATTCATCAATGAAGTGAAGGACAGTTTGTTTCTCAGTCTCTTCACTAGAGTTGCCACACAGTGGAACAGTATTATTTACTGGAGAGGTTAGTAGAGCTGCGCTAATCAGAAAGAAGGGGAGATGGGATTACTTGATGTGAATATGGACAATGATTTGTGTCCTAATTGTTATCCGGTAAATGATACTGTTTCCCTGTGTGCCAATTGTAAAAAGGATACTCAAATGGAATTACAATCTACCTAACATAGTGTCGAAATTCTACTCCGTTATTAGTGAAAGGCAGTCTGAATATGGTTTGCCTCCTTGTTTCCAACTCTCTCTCTCTCTCTCTCTCTCTCTGCTCTCCATTTAGGTGGGAAAATGGATAAGGGATATTCAGAGACTATCAGTCACTTAACTTACCTTCATCTACTTCACTCCTCTCCTCTCCTCTCTTCTCCCCTGCTCCCCTCTCCTCTACTCTCAGGTATCTATCTAAACATCCATACGAAAGAAAACAAAATAAAGCTAAAACATGACGATGAGACACAGAAAAGTGAGTGCATGTGTCGAATTCGTGATATGGTCAATAGGCTGAATGACTCAGTTGGAGTGTACACAGTCGAATACTGTATGGACTGTTGCACTGTGACTGTCGGTCAAGTAGCACATGTAGCATAAGTTAGAAAAAGCACTCAACTTTAATGGAATAACCCATCACTCTCAGTTTGATGAAGTCTTCATACTAGACAGTGTATGAACTGCTAACATGTTTCACTGCTTACCTGTCTGTCTGTCTGTCTATCTTGCTATCTTTCGTGAGGCGGCTGCAAATATCAGACATGGCTCCTCACACTAAACACTAACGTGTATGCTCATATATTGCAAGAGTAGATTACTCTACTCACTTGTTTGAAGGCACAGAGCATTGGTCTAGCCACTCACTCTTCTCCCAACTAGCTCACAAGGTTCAATCCAGTGTTACCCAACAGCAGTTTCAACAGTCACATGCTGGTTACCACAGTCTTCGAATAGCATATGT